ATCAATATTAAAAATTTGCGTACTGAATTTGAGAGAACCAATACGTTGCAAGTTCTAAAAATAACGGCACGTTGATTTAATTTAATTACTTGAAATTGGATACACAGATTTAGATAGACAAATATATGGTATTTAGAACTTAAGAATCTACTTTCGAAAACAAGCTGTGGCTATATTAGTTATTTTTGTACTCTTCTGTTGTGATCATAATCTATTAATAAAAAAAATCTTTAACTATGGTTTCATCATAGTTTTTGCAAAAGTCAAATTTCGACGATATAATTTTACTTTTTTATTTTTATTTTTTTGTTCCTCATAAAAAATACATTTCTGTAAATGAAAAATTTGTTTAGATGAATATTACCAATTTAATAAAATTGTTATTATATGGAAGTTTACTAAATTACGTTATGGCTCTATACCAACACAAAGAAAATGTATTTGACAAATTTAAAATAAATAACAAGCAAATAAACGGACCAAAAACAACGAGAACTAGAAGATCAGAAGTAATCAAAAACACTAAGGAAATTACATCCAACGCTACACACTCTTTCATATATCAAATGTCTCAAATCGTACGTGTTAGGCTTGTCAATCATTGTTTGCCTGATTTTATAAAATTAAAAAAATACAATATTGAAGTAACATTAGAGACAGGAGAAGATATCTTCTATGGAGAATGTCATATTATGATTATGATTCTTAAGGCTACACAAAATATAAGCCTGCATTCAGCAAATTTGGAAATAACTGAAGTCATATTAACAGGAAAGATTGATAGTTATTTAATAGTGGATAATGCACATAATATTTCGTATATACACGAACAGCAAATTGTCGTCTTGGATTTCCTTGATGTTATATATCCTGGTAATTATACTTTGAGCATAACGTATAAAGGTGTTATTGCTAATGATGGAGGTTTTGTCAAGGTCTCATATATAAATGCGATAGGAGAAAAAAAGTGAGTAAGAAAACGTACACGTCACATTAAAAATATTACATAATAATGTCTAAAATGAGTATACTATTTATATCTATTAAATACTAATAAATATTATATAATAAAAATTAAAAAGAGTTTCTGAATGAACTAGTGAAAATTAATGATTCACAATGGTATAGGCGATCTAATAAAGTTCGTTAAATGTATGAAAAATAATATATTATAACTCTGTAAATATTATAATATTTACAGAGTTTTAGAAAAAGCTTCGGTTTTGTTGCAAAGTAGGTAGTCAGCTAAAGTAAACACTCTGCAAAAAGTTATGAAAATAACAACAAATATAAAGTTATTATTCCTTTCATAAACGTGTTTTATTAAATAAATTTGTAAATATTATCAACCTATAAAATAGAATTTTTAATACGAATCTTTTAACATTTATTTATAATCTGTATATATATCTATGCATAATAACATAAATATATTGAATTGGAAAAAAGTAGTAAAGAGGAAGGTCTTGCACTAATAAAACATAAAAGCTGTAAAAATATTTCTATTAAAATATATTCGCTCTTTGCCCCGTTCCTGTAATAAATTAATTTAAATGATATTGAAAATAAAAAATTGTCTTATTACACAATTATCAAAATTAATTGAATATGTTAGATGGCTGATCGTAACAAATAACTCAGCGATAGGAATGCGACGACTCTTTCCATGTTGGGATGTACCCGGATTAAAAGCTGAATTTGTCATTGTTATAAAGGTTCCTGAATATTATAATGTTTTTTCAAATCCTTTTCTTTTTGCATCTACGTCAAAACCGCCTTTGATGATACACTATATCGTAACTCCTGAAATACCCACGTATCGAATAGGAATTGTGATATTTGATAAGCATGATTATACTAATATTTCTCCCTTACAAAACCTCAAATTATGGAGAAGAGAGTTGATGGAAGTACAATGGGATCAAATTTTGAGATTAATTGAAGATGTCACACGTACTGTTGAACATACATGGCAATTACAGGAAGGATATTTCTTAAAAAATCAATTTGCGATCGCAGGTTTGACAGATGATGGCGTGGATAAATTGCAGTTCGTACTTTACAGGTAGAATATGTTTTTAAAAAAATTAATTTTTATATTTTTATAATAAAACAATTGTAGAATAAAGAAACGTAGTAAATATTATACAGTATGTAATGCTACCAATATTAAAAAATAGCATATATTGTGAATGTTTGTATATAACGAATCATTTGTATGTTGTGTTTAGAGAAGAAGATATTATTTACAATGAAAAAATAGATCCCATTGCACGCAAAATAGAGTTATCACGTAAAATAGGACGTAAAGTGGTTGGTCAATTGTTTGGTACCGCGGTTAGTCCATCATGGTGGTCTTGCATGTGGCTGAACGAGGGTATTGCTACGTTGTTCGGCGTGTATACAATCAATCAGGTATTTTTTCACGTGTGATAATACTTTCAAAGAAAACTGAATATAAGTTTTAAAACACACGAGGAGAGAAAGAATATTTTCAATGATATTTAAGTTGAATGTAAAGAATTTTGCCGCATTCAAGTGACATCTTTTATAAAATTTATTTAAAATAATTTAATTATATTGTTAATGGTTATTATTATAATGATAATAAATTGATAATTAATAATTAATTATTCCGTGACTATACTTGTAATATCTAGACTATGCCAGATACTCGGATGTTGGATTTGTTCGTAGTCCAGACTCAACAAGAATCTCTCCGTCTAGACGATTCACAAATTATGAATCCCCTTGATTCAGAAGTTAACAGTATTTCTGAAATTAATTCTCTCTTCTCTTTCACTTATTACATGAAAGGTATACAGTACTGAATAAATAAAATTAAAACAATTAGAACGTGTAAAATTATTTAAGATACCAAAAATAAGTTTTACTTCAATTTACGTATTTTTTTTATTCATTAAAATAAATAAAGACATATTCTAAAACAAATATATTCCAAAAACATAGAAGTTTTTAATTAATTGTAGGCTTATCAATATTTCTGAGAACTTTCATAAATTTAGTGTTGGTATAATTTCTTTCATGTTTGATCTTATAATGCTTATTTATCGTAGCACCTTCTATATTGCGTATGCTGCATCATACAGTGGGTGATGATATTTT